TTTATTTGTATTCATAACCATCAACAAATTTATTTTGTGTACATTATTATAATCACTACTGAGTACAGTAATAATCAACAAATTCAGAAACGCAGCATGCCGAGATTTTTGTGTTCGTTTTTATTTGAAACTTCGTTTATTTAGAATATATTTTCGTTACCAATAAAATAAAAATCTCTCAGTCAATCAGAAACCCGGATTCATGCCTTTGAGGAAGGTCCCGTTTGAACGCTCACATCGGTTTTTTTTTCGTTTGGGGGAAAACTAAAACTGGTCGCAATTTTCGAATAAGAATGAGTCGGCAATTTTTAGTGGAGTCGAAAATTTGGAGGTAAATAAAACACCGAAACCCGCCAAATAAATAGGCGGCCAAATTTTTAGAGGGGTCGAAATTTTGGAGTTTTCACGGTGCTAATTATTCCATTTCAATGAAACTTAGTACAAAGATGCTCTAGGACAATGTACAAACCTAATTAGTTTGGGGTAAAAATCTGTTCATATTAATTCCCTAATAAGCATAATAATTCATAATTTTTTGGTTCTAATCACATTTCAATTAAACTTGGAGACATAGATTTTCTGTTACATTGCGCAGACCTCATTAGTTTTACACTCAAATCTGGTCATATTAATTTTCTGATTTGCATAATTAGTTTTCAGCTAAGTAATTTCGAATTATATTTAATGTGTCTCCAATACTCTCAGCACATGGGAGTTCTTTCTAAGCTTTCTTTGATTTTCTGATTGTTCTATTGTATTGATTGTTTTTGTCATTGACCTGTGTTGAATTCTTTAACATCTGCTCCACGTATCCAGCAACCGGCTAAAGTACTGCATTTCTTCAATGCCCATCCAGACAGCACAGAAAGTACAATTAGACAGGTAAAGTGCAATACTTATTCATTTACCGGTATACAAATGTACTTTATGGGCTGACAGTGTTTACTCTATATATGAGCCAGCCTTTCACAAGTCAAGGGACATGATGGATTGGGAGTCAGGAGGTCATATCGCAAAATGTGCATTCCTGGGTGATCATGGGTTGAAGCAATACAGTGTGAATCATTTCACCAGATATCAGTTATTCCAAAAAAAAACATTCTTGCTTGTTCACAAGGCTGCATTTGTCTCAATTAGTATGTAGTATATTGTTTACAATTAAAGTCTTGAAAATGCATTTTATCCAAATAATTAGACTTACTATATTTTCACCTTTGCCTTGCAGATTTTCATTGAAAATGGAGTTCAGGATCCAAGCTGTGTGAAGATGTTCAAGGCAAAAAGTAAGGCTCATCAGTATGATTTTGAAACTGGTAATGTAAATGTACCAATCTAGTAGAGCATAATTGGTTTAATGAATTGAATTGATTGCACGAGTGAGTGGGATACTAGGAATGAGAAACAATAGACAACTATGTTGACACAAGTGAAATACAATTCTTGCAGACCTCAATCATCTCAACGTATTGAAATTAATTTTTGCTAAACGAAGCATGACTTTGCAGTGAACCAAATTTCATTTCATCAATTGTACTAAGCAATTCTGTGGAGTCAGTACAGCACACGTTAGTGCATGATTCAGTTTGATAAATAGTTTGCCTGCCTGTTGTGCCGTTTGATTATGGATTCATAACCAGTTGACAATGTGCAAATAAAACTAGTTCGTATAAACTAACTTTACCCAAATCTAATTTTATTTGGTGCTTTGAATGTTATGTAACATTAATTTTCTAATATAAATGTTTTAATTTTTTTTAAATGTTGATTAAATTTTCAGGTGAACGTAGTTCTTCAGGCTTAGTGGAATGGGACAACGTATCAGATGCTATAGAGGCTGTTATATCATGCAATCATGTGGAGATGCCGAATCCAAGTGAGTCTTGAATTTGTAATGTTTCTTGAATACTAAACAGTTACATAAAACAACTCGTGTAATTGCCTTTTAATTCCCATGATGACATATCCTAAAAAAACTAACCTCATTTCACATTATTCACTTGAATCCATGTGCTTTATCAGTCAAGATGCAAAGTTATTTTTTTTGAATACTGGAATGAATGTTGAACCTCCTGGGATGTCATCGTTTGTACACACAATTGTTTCCTCTATCCCAGTGCCTTGCAAGTAATCAAGTTTCATTTGAATAGCTTCTATAAAACATTGGTGATATGAAAGATGGACTTTAATAGATGAATACTGTGCTGTAGTAATGCAATTTACTTTCCAATAATAGATCATCAGTGAAAATGAATCAGTGTCCAATCTCACTAGATCGAAATGTCCCCTTGATACAGAGACAAGTTTCTATTTTTGTTGTAGTGCAAAGTCTCCATTCTTGAGATAGGCTTAGTCTGTTTCATGTCTAGAGCTGCTGGCCTTTTCCTTAGCTACAGTAGTTGTCATAGCAGTGTTGTATGTTATCTCTATAATTGTTTTAATGCTGTGATGTATTAATCAGCATTCAAATTCTTATGCCCTTTACAAAATGAAGACTGCATATTCCATATATAATATTACAAATGAAAAGGAATGCCATTACCTCCTTGTGATGTACGTTTTGTCGCTGACCTAATTCAAAAGTGTCTCCATAAGTTTATTAAATAGTGTGAATTTGCATGAACATATTGCTACTTCATGTAGTTATGTTCCAGGTCAATCATATAACCCACTTTATATGTAGGATAATTGAAGTGTATTTGATTTATTCCTGGGGTCATTCTGGACTTCTTATAATTATCATATGTCATGGCTATTGTAAATACATTATTTGCTGGTTTTAATTTTGCTATTTTCCTTAAAATCATGATCTACTAAATTGAATCTATGTGAACATATAAAATAACAATAGAAGTCATTGTTTCTCTATGTCCGTAAATTAAAACCCAGTGAAATTGCTCAAAGCAAATGAAATGGTGAAATTAAACTATTCATAAATCTATTCATAATTGATAAATAATAAGCCACTCTTTGAGCGACGGCAATGTAATGTAATCAACTGTTTTTATCTATTTTAATATGCCTTGTACTTGTTACATAGATAGAAATCTAAGCACGCATCACTCATTACAAAACGAGTGATGTCTTAATCCTTGGTTGTCGTGATAGCTTTTTTATTCTATGCAACTTGCTGCATGCTGTACATCTTAGTATATTGTGCATTTGTACATCAGTTAAGGACACAGGTTTGAATGTCTAAAGTGTAAACTAAGATGTAGTTATTTCCAGATTTTGTTTTAGTGAGCAGGCATTTTTGATTTGATCATAAAATAGGCATATTTTGTTGAGAGGGCAATTGTGAATTCAGGGGCCCCAAAAAGGTGATGTCCTTGTATGCTGTCCAAATCTTGGGCTATAATTTATAGTTTTTTTCTAGAGTTCCCTTAAAATTTTTTGAAGAACCATAGAATAAATTAATCCCTTGTATCGTGTGCTTTCTTGAAATAAATCTGCTTGATTTAGTCATTTACACAGCTTTTTCAAGAGTGCAACTATTCGTATTACTGATTGTTTGTCGGCATCATCTTCACATCTTTGGCTTGCTTTTTATTGAGTGAACCTCTCAGATTTGTTAGTTTCATGATATTTCCAAATGTCTAATTTTGATGAATATATTTGGTAAAAAGTGCTGTTTTTGACTTGTTCTAAAAACGATTGCTTTGATATTTTATATGTAGACACCTAGGATACACCTTAAATTTGTTCCTTTTGTGGCAATACCTTAAATACTCTAATTTTAGTGCGTATTTGGTCATTTTTGGTTTTTAAAAAAAAGGGGCAAAACAGGGCAGGGATCTCGCCACGCTGGTCGCCGGTGGTCGGCCCCGACCGGCACTCAAAATTAGCGACCACCACGGAAATGCTTCCAACCAGGACTATTGTCTAATTGTTATTATAATTATGTACCGACCGACACGCAACCTGCCAGTCGTGGATTATAATTTGTAAACATTAGACCTAGTCTCACGATACGTAGCGGCTAGTCAATTTTGTGAAATTAGCACCTCTTTGTTTGTAAGTAAATACTTTCTGTGATAGACAGTCGTTAGATTGAAAGCTAAAATTCTTTCAAAATCGATTCTACCTCGATATAACATGGTCAAAGTGGAGTTCACGATCAGTTTACGCTACTCAAGAAAAAAATCAACGTGTTTATTGCGTGATTTGGTAAAGTGCATTTGAACTGTCATCATCGCGAATCATGTAAAAACTCTTCTTTCAAGACCTATTTTACCTTTTAAAAATTGCCAATCTCCTCTTTTGAAAACCATCCTGCAGTTTTCAACTGAAATCGATGTCAACACATTGTGCTACAACATCGCTTTACTTCCGCAATGTAATCACAACCATTCGGGAAAACTTCGGTTTCTACCGGCATTACCATGCGGCATTCTGATTGGTTAATGGAATTATTGACCCGTCAGGTCAAAGAACATGTGCCGGTCAACTAATACGTCACAAACATCATGGCGTGCTGTGTTTTTTATCGAAGTGATCGAGTGATCAAAAATATTCACTCCCGATAAAACTAAGTCAAATTTTACTTTTATTTCAAATAAAAAAAGAAGTAAATTTTTTTTGCTTGGCATCATGACTAAGAAGAATTATTGGTATAATCGGTGTATAACATCGTGAAGTAAGTTATGTCACGTTGTAACTTTGAAAGCTCGGAAGTTTTATTTGTTCGTTCATTACTATGAATATATACGTTTTAGAAGTTGATGGTACGAATAATAAATTACAACAATACTTTTTTTGAAGGAGAATGTATTTAGAGTAAATAAGACCGTGAACATATTCCTGGCTGAAATGTTTCAAATGCGTTTTATTTAACTTTTTACAATAGACATTAATATTGCAACAATAATTTGTTTCTGTTTTTTAGTCTGCACCATTCGCATTTCGAATATATTCAATTTTTAAATTAAAACTCTTCTAAATTGTGAAACATAATGTCTTAATTTCAAAAATATTTTGCACTGTGCCCGAAGTGAACTAATTAATATTCATTGCTAATTAATATTCATATAGCTCATTAATATTCATGACTGACCGGCGCTCACGTTGGGCTGGCGAGATCCCTGACAGGGCTATATCAGTCTTACCAGTAGTTTAACATGCATAGCAGAAATACTTTTAATGTATCATATTTTGTAATTGTACATCTGTAAAGCATTATACTTATATTTGAGTTTGTTTTAACACTTCTCCACATGGTATCACTTTGTGTTTTGCACATGTCAAATATTTTATTTTATTCAGCTATCCACATGTGATTTTTGTTTATGTGCATTCCCTAGTCAGTAATTAGTGTAGTACTTCAGTCATACAGAATAATAACTTATTTTGATCATGTATGTGAATCTATCTCTCGCACTGTTTATGAATCTAACAAGTTAAATTTTTAGAATAACCCCCAAAAATGTTCTAGTGTAAAATACTTTATTTTAGCTGGAATTAATTTACACTGAAAAGACTTTTTGGATATTTTGTATGGAATTTATTTTCACTGTATCAGTGAATCAGAAAATGTATTTCAAGGGAAAATAAAGTATTCTACAGTATAATGCTCTGATATTGTGTAACTATTATTTTCTAGACATGTTTGAAACGATTAGATATATTATTGGATTCTCTTCATTGAATCATTGAAATGTCAACCAAATAAACAAGATATCTTAATTGTGCTAAGGACAGCAGAAAATAATTCCCTGCATTGTTATATGCTGGTTATTTTCTATGTGTAAAGGGATACCTTGCTTTTCTCAGCAATCACAATAATTGACGTGATTGGCTCACTTTATATTCTACCCAAGGTTAGACACTGTCAAATTTGTTTGTGGAATTTCAGATTTACCTTGTGGCTTTAAAACAGTTGAGCGATTTTACTTGATCTCTACTTGTAACTTGCAATATAAAGCTTTCAGTTTAGGGTAGTGTTATTCAGCTGAGCCTGAAATTTGAGATTATTGATTGGCAGGTGTGTGTGACATGTACGTGCAATATGTCATGTGATCTGACCAGAGAATGTAATTGGCTGACAATTTGAATTGCCAACCAAGTATGGATGCCAGTCCTAGTAGTGTCTGATTTGTTGTGGAGTTTGAATATGTGGAGTTTTCAAGTAACCAAATGTATTGTTTGTAACTCTGCCAGTCGTACCATGTCATGGTTATGTATGGACGAGCACATCAGTTGCCTAACAACACTTTGTTTGCAGTGTCAGTTTTGTTTCTTTTGTTCTTGGTACAAAAGAACCATCAATGGGTTTTCTAAAGTAAGCTGTAGAAATCAATCGCCATGCGCAGGGTATTCATTTTTTGCATTGGTTTGAAAGTTCAAAATGTTAGGATAACCTTGCTTTCTCATCACTTGACTGGGCAAAAACAATTGACCTTGTGTTTTTACTTTGTTGAATTTATAATGCCTGCTGGGAAATTGGAAAAAACGTTCTTCTATGAAATCCACAAGGGAAAAGTTCAAAATTAAAATGTGGTTTTGTCCCGAGTACACTGCTGCTAAACGGGTTCGGCATGGCCGATGGGGGCAAGGTGAGCGTGTTACGCCAAGAATCTATTGTCCAGACACGCATGTGGACAGGGGGAGCTGTGCATGCTGTGCCTATTTTAATTCTAAAGTCAACTGCATATTTAGATCATTGGCCACACTTGAAGCGCAAGCTGTCATTCTCTAATTTTGCATCATACAAATTCGTTTTAAATGTATACTTTCTATTTCCCTATAAATCATGCTTGTACTGAGTTGCCATCTTAACGTTTTTTTTTTTTCTTTCTACAGGTGGACGCTACCCATACACTTTTAAGCTGTGCTTCTCTTCTGCCCTGCATGCTGTATAGATGTATCTGATAAAACCTCTACAGAAAATACTGCAACCTACCTCTACTAAGTCCCACTAGTTTGTACTATAACTGTCATTTAGATTTAGAATGTTGGCTTGTACATAAAGTGCTAGAGTCCCAGCCTGAGTTCATGCAGATATAACAGCCTAGTTACACATGCATATATCTGATGAGGCCCTATGCCATTGTATTGTTGTCTTGCAAAATAAGATTTGTCACTTTTGAAATTTGTTTTTAAAATAGAAACTAGATATCTGAACTTGTTACTGTTTATCAGTTATTCCTTGAATATCTTAAATGTTGAAATGTAACATTTTAAAAAAAAAATTGTTTTCCCATTCACCAATTCGTAAGAGGAATATTAATTGCAACTAATGAGACAAATGTTTAAAGTTTAGATAACATGCTCTCGCATCACTGCAACTAGAGATGCACATATCACCACAAGTCCAAAGTGCTCTTGGTTAGGCTTTTCACAATTTGTTTATTTTAATTTCTCATCTCTTGATATATTTTTTAATCATGGACTTGCTACTACAGTAGTGATAGCAGGCTTGAGAATCTAATGGATAGGCCTTGTAAGGTTAATTTAGTAACTTTATTATCACCAACTAGTTGCTTGCGTTTATTTTTATCAGAAAAAAAAAAATAAGGCTGTCTGAAAAATCTGAATCTTTTGGTATAAAACATCTGATATGTTGACATTTAAAACATGTGGGAAAAGATAGCAAAGGAAATAAACTTGCCATAACCATCAAAACCTTTTCATAGATTTTTTTTTCTAAAGGCATTTGGTGGCAGTTTATATAAATGTTAGCCAACCATAGTGTCAGTGATTTATGGAAAAACATTGTTTATTTGTCTTTAAATGAGTTGCAAAGCTGTTGAATCGTAGCCTTATTTGCTCAAATACCCAAAACTACTGGACTATACTAGTTGTTTTTTTTAAATGTCCTTTACATGTTATAAGGTGAAAGTAAGTTGTACTTCTCTGTATTATGGCATGTATGTTGATAAATAAACGTGATAAAGGGTTCAAAATCATTCTGGTAATGTATTCAGTAGTAAAAGTGTAAATGGGTATATTTCATTTTGCCTTGTGTGTAACATTTGTAAGGTTGAATGTGAATTCCTGGTGGACAGATTCACTCAATTAACATTTATTGATTTTAGAAAAATTTGGCATTCAGGTTCAAAAACGGTGCTTTAACTGAAAAAAATGCTTAGGTGAATTTATCTTTTGGGCTTGTGTATATTCCAAGGCATGTAATCAACCTGTTTGTAATAGTTCCCATTGGTACGCTGGAGCAGCTTGTGTCAAGTGATCCACATTAAATGTAATGCATTTCAGTCTGTGTTTAGAGTACTCTGTCACAGTGGATTTTATAGGAGCCTGGTTGACTTGCATCTTAGAGATGAATGCTTGATTAATCTGGTGGCTAGGGAGTCCAAGTAATGCAGTCACCTGAATGTTGTGCTAACACTAACAAATGTTTTACTCTTTGCTGGACTGCTTTCGCCAAACTTGAATCTATCGAAGATGTATATTTGGAATAGTGCCAAGTGATTACAGCTTTTTGTTAATGGATTTGTATGTTGAATAGCAGGATGTCATCAGTAACTGCTTTTGGTTTCTAATCTTCAGTTTCCCTGTGTGTGCTCTACTGAACCGTTCGGTGGATATCAATTAAATCCAGTACAGAGATGTTCTGAAATAATGTGTGGACTGGATTTGTTGGTGTGAATTTCCTAGTTAGCCAAGATTCAGCTTCAGACCAAATTTGGTATATAGGTGCATGTACATTGAAAAAAACATTACACAGATTTGAAGGTCAATGTACAGTTTATGACCCTAGTAATGGAATTCAAGTCTCATCATTGCAAACAGATGCCATCAAGTTTTGGTAGTTTATTTTCATCAGCTTTTAGTGACTGAATTATACACCAGTGATGTTTATTGCGAATACAATTGTGTGAAGATTATCTACAGAAAGTCGAATTAACTGAAAACACGTGCATACCACCAATAAACTAAAGTCTACCCAGGTGTCTAGTATAAAGTTTAAATGACCCAAGCGCAATTAGTTTTAGTGTTCAAATTTGTGCTTATTCATCATCAAATTTACATAAAGTATTCCAAATTTGTAACTGTTTTACATGTGAGAACCAGTCACATTTCAATTAAACTTTGTCATATAGGCACTGTGGCCATACGTGTATTCCTAATCAGGTCTAAAATATTAAGCAACTTTCTGATATTTAGTAATACATGTATTCTGATTGAAATCCAATTAATCACCTAATTTACAAAAATTAGCCAATTTGTAAGCTCTTCCACTTGTACTGGTATTTCAACAACCACTCATCAAATTTTAATGATACTTCGTACATAGGTGCTCTTGCGTATATACATGTTTCATGTGTAACTTAAAACTCACTTAACAGATTTAACAAAATATAGTACAGGCCACACCTAGGATACTACGTAAACCACAACCCATGTGTACAATTGAATTTATTCCCTTTGTCAGTTACATTGTAGGTATGTTTGCCTAAGAGATAAGAACCCCAAGTACTCTCCAAATGAAATGTGTAGAAAGGGCAGGGCAGGAATTCATATTCTTCTTTAGCACATTTTAATGTTTATATTCTAGAGGTGGGGGTCATAAATCTGCAAAATGTGCATGCCACTTAATTCAGCTTTCTTTGACATAATTTCTTTTTCAATTACATCATGATAAACCAATGCATCATTTCCTTGAGTATGTGTTCGGGATGCTGTCACACCATGACATTTGACTTTCTCTTTTATAATAATTTGCATAATCTATTTAGTAATAAAACGTTACATAACTATTTAAACTGATTCTAATCATAATGTGTTTACACGATTTGGTTTGTTGAGAAAACAGTTCAGCTACAAACAAACGGACGGCATTGCAGATTTGTGATAGTATAAACTAGCTGTTGTCATGACAATTATCACGAATGCTTGTTCACGACATCTCTTCAAACTGGGACGAATTCTCCGAAATATTGCCAATAATGTATATGGTGATAATATTATTATTGAGGGCGCTCGTTTCATTTTCCGCGCGTGCCCTCGCTGAAACAGCGTTATTTTATGACACTTTCGACTGGAGTAAACTAACTTTACGTCTCAGCATTAATACATTAAATACTCCTTGGAATCGTTACTGGAATGCTGAACATATCTACAGAGATAACTTTATCTGACATTCACTTTACAACCAAAGTGCTTAATATACGATAGAGTTCTCGTGGTAGTATGCGGTGGAATGTATTCTCCTTCAAATATATGGAGTAATAGTATTTATATCACAACATGAAAAGCGTGACCTAGATGGCCCCAAATTAGTCTTGGCCAAGATTGACTATTCTATTCGCTGAACCATCACGTCCATCAGTCTCGGCTGCAGTTCTTGGTGGAAACGCGCATCATGTATTAAAGCGCGGTGGTCGTCGCGCAGCGCGTGTTCGAATTTCATGTAAATAAACAATGTATTTTACACGCGTTGTATACGTCGTTACGAGTCCCATAACGAACAGGACGCGGCACGACGACTGCCGCCCTTTATTCTTGTCGCCTTTGAAACAATAATGGGTTAGAACGCGTTATGGGCGTTACTCATGAAGGCGTTGGCCACCGTTAAAGCTGTCTGGATTTCCTTCTCTTGTTTCTTCACACGTTTATGTGCTTCTGTTGACGAAACATGCATGTATTATATTAATGTATTTGTAACGCCAGTGATTCATCAATGGCTTGAGGGGTTTGGACAGGCCTTGCTCCATATATACATTGTACGAGTAATTCGGCCTACCTAGTTAGATCGTGATTTGAAAACAATTATAACATATTATGAATACTTACGTGCAATTTGTATCATGAGTATACCCCATGCGATGCTCCAGAACCAACCAACAAGCAGAAATGTTATTGTCATCAACTGTGATATCCCCACCCATATATTAGTACATAACTGATCGGTCAACTCATCTTTCTTGCTGTTATCTTGCGGACTGCTACAGCAGAATAATGTCACGCCGGAAACAACCGTGCCTGCAATACATTGTTTTTAAATTAAATTAAATTGTCACATAATATTGTTTCAGTGTGATTATGGTTAAACCTGACAATTCGACCTTGGATGTCTGTTTGTGTATGTATGTATGTATGCATAGAACGATCAATTATTCAAAGGTCGTATTCACTGACTTCGTGTGTCACGTCCGATATACGTATTCATTTTGAGATAAAATCGAGAATTCTCGAGCACATCGATCGTATATGGAAGAGTTTAAGGCGGCTCGCATGCTTATTTTTATACAGATTTTTCAGTAACCACTTTTTTCACGAACATAAAGTTTATGGTTTTCTAATTTTGCTTGTTTCATATACATATTGAAATAATTTACTAAAAATGTTTTTTATTTTTTTATTATACGGCGTACGTACGTACGACGTCGTTATCATCGTTAAATATTCTTGTGATTCATAGTGACACTCGCGGTTTATTTTTATCATCCTTTTTCAAACTTTATTTCTGTTTTTAATGTTTTTATATTTTTATGTTTAGTGCAATGCGAGGCGCCGCTTAGTATGGGACAATGACACATTTTTGCAATATTTAATATATTTCAGCTTGATAAATTGATAAGCAATATTGCTCGATGTATAGCAAGGTTGTTAAAAAAACGATGTAAATTGCAACAATTGGAACAGCGGATTATTCTCGCGTAATTACGTTTTATTAGACATACACAACTGTATCGAGTAATTCCTGTTTTAATATTTCATTCAACTTGTATGACGATGTGTTTCATTTCTCTCTGTCAATGTTAGCTCGGAATGATTTTGATATAGCAAATACAGGGTTTGGCGTTTATAACGTTAATACACAAATAACGTTTACCATTACAGTGGGTGTAAATTACAGCAAGCGAAAAATTTCCAAATAAGATTCTAAAAAGTTATTCCAGAATATAGATTTAAAATGATAGAATAAGTGGAATTAAAATACATTTCCCTACAATGTGTGCATAATGGTGATTGGTCAATATCTGCATCTTGATCACCCTAGTATCAGTTACATCGTACATTGCTGGTAACACTTGGGTCGTGAACGCACGTGCTTCTCGGCTGAAACTTTAAATTATCCTCCCTGAACACCTAATTCCTTTTCAATTTTCGAGTAAAATCTGGTAATTTAGTATTAATGAAATTCGATTATTTCTTTCCATGGAAATAAACGAAGCGTCAAGGGAAAGACTTATTAAGTTGGCTTGTAGGAGATTGAAAATAGTATTGAATTTCCCTCTATCCAGAATTCGTCTTTCACGATTAATCTCCTATAGTTGAGTAATGGGGGCCGGGTATTGTAATATATTTCCATCACTAAATGCACATTATCAATTTCACTCCCGGATTACTAGTAACATACGCCATCTTTTTATGGATATGACCTTATTTGGTGCAATATTTACATATAATTTACGTCATCATATAATCGTTAAATCACTCTGAAACAATATAAAGAGAGAGCATGTGTAATCCAGAAAAGTATTTTAGACCCTTTGTATACGCACGTGTCGATAAATTGGTGTTTTATACCGTGACATTACTTTGGCCATCGCGGTAAGAATGTATCACATCGCCCTCAATACAGTCGACGGTACGATGGCATATACTCCTTGCCAGTAAGAATGTGTATGGGTTCGCTGGGCTTCGACACAAACTTCTGTGATCGTATCCATAAATTTGTTTAAGACTAAAATTTCGTTTCACACGTTTTCTTTACTTCTATAGCGAACGTCACATCGATTGCTAGACATAAACTTTACAGAATACACCTGAAAATGGGTGCTGGCCTTAAACTGACGGCGGCGTTCTACTACGGTGGTCGTCGCGTAGCGCGTTTTCAAATTTCATGTGAATAAACAAAGTATTTTACACTCGTTGTATACGTCGCTATGAGTCCCATATCGAACAGGACGCAGCACGACGACTGGATTATAGAAATTATTGTCTACATTAGATGGGAAGACTGACTTTTTCAGGGAATTTATTCCCATTAACGAGTACATCTCGAAGTCAAAGTGAGTGGCTAATCTTCTAATACATCATACCAGAGAGGCTAATTAGTTGCTACGAAGACAACAAGTGCACTGAGCGACTCACTTCATTGTCCTCATCACTACTGACACCGGAGGGCGGATGCGTTGCCATGACGAGAGGAAATTGGAAATACGTCACTCATTAAATCTGTCACGGTTAGCCGCTTCTTGTTATGTTTTTTTTTTCTATACTTTATTCAGTTGATTCCGAAATACTAGTGATGTTTTATTACAGAAGTTTTAACTGATGGTCCACCGTGATTTCGTCACGAGAAGATCAGCCACTTGTTGGTGAAAACGTAATGTATATTTAGTTGATAGTCGAAGCAGCTGGGATGGTAGACTCGGTTCCAGTCTTTTGTTGTTGAACTACAGCTTGAGTATAATAACACATACCGTTGAGGGCAGTATAACAACCAGGAACGGCAACTACTAGTATATACGCGAGACAAAAATAACCACGCCCATATTTCAGAAACCACGTCCACTTTTGCGAAACACGTTCAAATTGTAACTCGATGTTCAAGTAACAGTTAACCGAACTTTGAGTTACGGGCAACATATAATTTTTGTTTCGCTTAACGTTTTATATTTCCCGTTATTCGAAGTTCGGTTAACAGATAACGAAAATTCGAGTTACTAATTGAACGTTAAACAAAGCAATAAATCTATGTTACCCGTAACTCGAAGTTTCGTTAACTGTTAATTAATGTTCGAGTTACAATTTGGGCGTGGTTTGCCAAAAGTGGGCGTGGTCCTTTTTTTAACTATGTTCGTAACTCGAACAATCCAGCATCTCCGCAAGACCATACCAGTAACTTGCAAGGATAATAGACCTATTCACAATTTTGAAAGAAAGCAGATTTTGATTTACTTGAATTATTGCCGTGGTGTATTCAGGGTGGTTTGCAGATCAAAATGGCGGTTGATTTATTTTATGACTTAATTACTGCACTTATCAAGCATTTTATTCGTTTCTATAGACCTAATCGTGGATTCCTCGTTTGGTACGACATAGATTTGATCACTGCCCTCAGAGAGAGAAGAAACATATGGATTTAGGTGCAAGAAACGTATTTTTTTCAATTTAATATAATGTTGCCGTGTTTTGAAACAAAAGGTCAAATTAAAAAAAAATATTATGTCCAATGATAAACTCTTTTGATTGCTGGTCATAGCAAGGTCAAGGTTCTCCACCACCCGTGAATTTCCACGATGACTGTATAGCTTTTGAACTAGAGAGCTAGACTGAACCTTTTAGTGCCCAGTTCTGTTTTCATTGAGACTAACTGTGTGTTTAATTATTCGACTTTACACGTACCTTATTTTACTTTATTATTATTCCAAAATTAAAAATTTACACTGAGCACATTTATCTGTCTAAATTTAGATGTCCAGAAAGCCCAAGGCTGCGGTGACCTTAGCAACCATGTGACTGTATACATGATTTCACAGTTCCGGCATTTCCGGCGCTTCCTCAGGGGTGTTTTCCTAGCATCTGGAAATTGTCAAATTCAAAGCCTCTCAATAAATCGGAGAGAGTTGGCTGTACAGACAAGTCTCCCTGTCGTCTACATAGGTAAAGTTTTTGAATGACTAGTCAGGGACATTATATATTCCAACGTGAGTTTTCTAATCGTCAGTGAACATACATTTATCGTCATCGTTCAATGTTCCAATTCTGCTGCCTTAGATGATAAGCAGCAGCTCGATGTCATTTAAACAGATTATAGCAAGGTCTGCGACAAAGTGGGCCATCTTTGTTAATTCATAAATTACAATTCCCTGGCATCGATTCTAATATTCCGACTTGGTTATAGAGCTACCTTGCTAATAAAAAATGAACAACGTGTTACATCATTATGTACTACTGTAACGACTCAGAACACCAGGTGTACAACAAGGTTCTAAACTCTAGCTCTACCTGACCAACTATCTTGTTTGCTGATGACTCAAAGTTGTTCAGGTAAATTAAGAGTAATGAGAACTGCCATTTAATTCCACGAAATGTAAAATACTATCACAAGGGCGGTGGTCGTCACGCAGAGCGTGTTCGAATTGCATTTAAATAAACAATGTATTTTACACGCGTTGTATACGTCGCTACGAGTCCCATATCGAACACGTCGCGACGTGACTGCCCTTTGAAAAAGAAATCGTATGACTATCACGTTCACAGTTGCAATATTGATCAAGTGTCTTGCATACAAGATTTAGTTGGCATAATAGACTCAAAACTCAACCTTATTCACCATGTTGATACAATTGTAGATAAAGCCAGTCTGGTGGTTAGTTTTAAGTCAACCATGATAGAAAATATAGTGTCTCTCCGCGCACTTGCTATGACCATGGTACACCCAATATTGAAATACTGTAACTCTATTCCTGACAGTCAGGCATACCGTATTAAATCAATTCAAAGTGTTCTCGGGTACTTGGACCATAAACTTGGATTTTACAGATAACATTCATATTGTGTTATTGCGATTGCAAATTGCTTATCAAATCATTCAACTTTTAGATTTACGA